CCCCTCCATCGCCTCCCCTCCATCCCCTCCCCTGCCCAGAAAACGGCCGGGATCCGGAATTTAACAGGATCTTATTTCCAGGGTGGAGGGGGCGGGGGTGCGAGGGTGGGCTACTGCCCGAAGAAAAGAAATGGGGAGGGGGCGCCTAGAAAAGACGGATCCCATGATTGTGCTTTTTATTTATTCGTAATAAATAAAGGTGATGGGTGTAGGTTTCGTCCCCCACCCCCCGAAGATTACCTTTAGGACGATCTCCTTCCCACTTCGTCCTCGCAGCTCCCTTTTCCATTTGTCTCCACTCCCACCCGCGCGCTCCTTTATCCTCCGCGAGCCTCGGGTTTGGGGGCCTGTGGGGTCGGAATGCGCGCGGCTAGGTGAGGAGAAGGGGGTCGGGGAGGGAAAGTCCGGGTCGGACCCGGGCAGAACAATGAAACGGCCTGAAATCCCCCTGCATCGACGTGTGTAAAGAGAAAATGTAGTTTAGGTTTTCAAGTTGGGGAGGCGGCCAAGACGTCTTTCTGGACGGGTCCGGGTGTTCTGCGTGGCGCACCTTCACCTGGCGCTGGGTCATTTTGTCGGGTTCGACTGTCTTCAGGAAGAAAGAAAACGCAGGGCGAAAGCGCTTCGCTTCCCTACCCTCCCTCTCTCTCGTTTTTCTCCCGTCAGTTCTGTCAGTTTCCAGCCAGAAATCAAACCAGAATCAACTAAGTTTTTTACACTTCGGTGTGTTTTTGTGTGCCTGTAGTGGGAGGGATTCTAGACCCAAGTGGGCCTGATTTTTCAATCTTTTCATCGTGAAAATGTTTTTCTCATGAAATCATTGGAATAGCAGCCTTTACATACTTTTAGCGGCAGTCCATCTGGCTTTCGTTCGGTTTTGTTCAGAGATTCTGTGGGTGAAATAGCAAATGAGAGGGGAAGAGGTTTGTGTGAAGCAGAGAGGAGGGGTGAGGAGAGGCGATTTTAATCCTTCCATAAATCCAGAGAACAGTGGTGGCGAGTGAAACAGGGAACGCATTAATAGTTTTATCTTTGTTGTAAGAGGCAGATTAGAAAAAAAAAAAACACCCCCACTTATCTGCAAAGAAAATCTGTTATTAGTTCCAAGGCTCCAAATGAATTAGGTTTCTGGGTGGAATAAAGTTACCAGTCAGGCCCTGGATAGCGAGGCTGTAAATAACCTATGGACTGTAAATATTTTTTTTCAGACTCTTGGAAACAAAGGGGCTGTTTAGAAGGCAACAGAGAGATGTTATTCCAGGGGCTTTCCTCTTTGATTCTGAAGAACACAAGGTCCATTTAACCATTCGACAAAACAAAACGAAATTTCTGATCACTCCACCACGCAGCGCAGAAGGAGCCCGTGGCTCTGTGGCCTGCTAGGAGAACCCATGTCGGGCATTCATTGTTCGTCTGTGTCTCTGGGAGGGGGCTCCCGTCAATGCGCCCACTGTCTATGGAGTGTTAAAATGAAACAATTTTCTCTTTATGAAGTACCTCCTTGAGACTCCCTCTGCTGGACACACCGGGTGAGCATTAGAGAAGGAACTTGGCATTGAATTCAGAACTACAGTAAACCCGGCTGCTTTCCCTTTCACAGGGGCTGGGTGTGTGGGTTGGGATGTATTTTGTCAACTTTGTGGAAAGCCATCTCGGGAACGGCCCTGTTCTCCTCCTGTTCCTTTCATTCTAAATCCGTGTGGAATGTAGGCCCGACCTCTGGGGCTGAGCCTGGGCACTCCTGTTCTTTCTACAGTGTTCTTCTAGCGCTTCCCCCCAGGTGCAGGACTGTGGGTGTGCACGGTGTTGTGGTTGAAGACTCACTAGGGACCTCAGAGGTCTCAGGAGTGCAGGTTTTGTTTGCAAGTCTTCCCTCCTGTCCCAGGAGATCTCCCTGGTCACCGCTTTCAACCCCGGGTTTCCCTCCGTCTTGTTTGTGTGCTCTCTGAATTATTCCGAGGTTTTGTACGCTTTGATTCTTCAGTGTCTCTGTGCATCACTATCGTCCTTTTCCTAGTCTTCCTCTTCTCCCCTCCTCATCCAGTTCAGCATCCCTCTGCACACGTCCAGGGTCTTGTTGAAAGAGTCTGTTGGTCACGCTCTGAAACAGACAAGTGACCTCCGGAATCAAGGATTGTATGGCGGGAACCTCCCCTCGCTCACTGTGCTGAGCGCTCCTGAGACTCCATGACCTCCTTTTCCCGCCTTGGCGATACCTGCTGGATTCAGTGAGCCTGATTTTTACCAGATCCCGGTCAGAACACGAGGACTCCCTGTGTGTGTCCTGAGGGAGCAGGAATTTTCCTGTGGAATTCTCCAGAAAGAGTGATTTCTAATAGTTTTTACGCTACTAAAAAATCGGGCCTGGGGTTCTTCTCAGGAGACAGACAGGTGAAGGCGTTTCAGCTGTCATTCAGGAGAGTGCATTTGTTTCAATGGGGTGCAGTCGCCCCAAGCTGGGATATGGGCTGAAAACCTGGATGCACGAGGGGAGCATTCTGAACTGCCCGATGTTTAGAGAGAAAGGCTGTCTTCCAAACAGGGCATGTTTGCTAATGCGAGTTACTGGGTGGCGGAGTGTAATCAGTCTTCCACAATTTGCTTCTAAGGATAGGTTTATAAATAGCACATTAGTTTTCAGTGGCTCGGTACTGATTAGGTTCAACTTCTTTAAAAAGGTTTGTTTTCTTTAGAAGGTTAAACATTTGCCTCACAATTGCTGGTTACTCCATCGACTTGCTTAGCAAGGCTTTTTTCAACATGTAGTGCAAAGGCCGACTGAAAAGATCTGTGTTGCCACAGGTTCTGAAGGAGAAGACCCTAAGTTCTCAGTTAGTTATGCTCTACTGTACCTGAGAGGAGCCACGTTGACTGCTTACACCAGTGGTTCCCAACCTTGGCTGCACATTAGAATCACCTGGGCATCTTTTTAAAATCCTGATTTCTGGGCCGCATCCTCCAGAAATTCTGTCTCTTTGTTATGGGGTGGGGCCACAACATTAGTAACAAAGAAACAGAATTTCCGGAGGATGAGGCGCAGAAATCAGGATTTTAAAAAGATGCCCAGGTGATTCTAACGTGCAGCCAAGGTTGAGAACCACTGACTTACCCAGTCAGACTTCCCCAAAGTGTTGAAATCTACCATCGGATAGGCCGGAACACACCTACCAAGATGCCTACCAAGAAATGGGTTCTGAATCATCTTCCATTAAAATAATTTGATGACACATGTTCTGAAATATCTCTTCTTGTGTTTGTGTGTTATGTGTTGTAAATGAGTAAGTTATAAATATTGTTTTCATTCTCACCACATTTGAGCAGTGAATCAAGGCTCGTGGATGTCACCTTAGTTCCGGGCAGTGGGTACAGTATCTGAATCAGAGGGAGCTAGCGTATGGCTCAGGACGTGTTACTGAACTTCTCACTTCTCACGAGTGGATGGGGAGTGCCTGGCTGTGGTGGGCATTTTCTCAGTGTGTGTTAAATCCCTCTATCTTTTGAGCTGCTTACAGGCATGATGACTCCAGGGAAAGAATAACTCACAGTTTAGAAAACCAATAATAGCAACATTTCAATTATTAATCTCCTGCCATTCGTTTTCCAGTTTGGGCACCAGCAACAATAAGCCCCCTCTGGCCACAGAAGAAAGGGCCCTTTCTGACCCCCTCTGTGACCTCTCCAGATCCGGGATTCCCACTGAGCTGCCACTGGTTTCAGGTGGAGAATTTCTCATCTGTAGAGGCACATTCGGTGCCACTTTAAAAACGCGGAGGCGAGCCTGCAGAACAGTTTCGAGGCTGCAGCTGTGCCTCTGGGAAAGCATCCCCGAGTCTGAAAGGTATGACCTTTGCCCTTCATCAAGATCCATTCCTGACCCAGGCAGCAGGCCAGGGCAGGAGGGCTGGCTTACCAAGGGCCCCCTCCCAGGGGAGGCCCCCAGCCACCCACCCACCCATCCACGAGCCAGCGCCTGCAGGCTCACCGTGCACACCACATCATTTTCCTACAAAAGAAACTTGGTGCTTTAAGCAAGCTTCAGCTGCGCGTAGTCTTCATATTTTATTCTGTATGTTCTTTCATTTCTCCCTTCCTTGTTCCTCTCATAGAAACCAGTCTTGGGGAACCACCTTCGAGGTTTAGGTGGAACAAAGTAGGGATGATCAAGAGGATATGATATGTGAACCTTTTTTTTTCTCTGAACAGGTATTTTTTATTGTTCTCTGTACAGATATTTTGCCAATGCTTTCTGGTAGTCTTATGTTGACAATTCAGGCACTTCAGGTTGCTGTCAAAGACCGGATTCAGAATAATGCGAGCTGACTGTAATAATCACCACAGAGTGTGAACCTGAAAGGCCCAAACTCGTAATGTCAGGTTCCTAATGTCAATACCCTATTGGGGGAAAAAGTAAAAGGAAATGGAGAACCTGGAGTGAATAGGAGGGTCTTTATTTTTTCTCTAAAAGAAACAGACACGCCTGAAGTTCACAGTGATAATTGTGACTCAGACCCACTTGGTTTGTGCTATACATACTCTCTACCCGCATTAACTTGTCTTCCTAGCAGACCCAAGAGGTGGGCACTGCTCCCTTACTTTACAGGTAGGGCACTGCTTGAATGCATTCCTTCAACAGACATTTACGTGGGGTCCCTGTCCTCGAGGAGTTCAGCGGGTATGAGAAGTCAAAGTCAGGACTAAACACGGGCTCACCAGCCCAGGGTCTGACTCCAGGTGCTTGATTTCCTCGTGTGTAGGTGTGTGTGCGGGTTCATCATTTTCATCTGTTAATGTTTCTTAAGGGGTAAAGCCAGGAGTGAGGAATGTCCAGCGCACGGGCCAGATAAGGCTGGCCCTGCCAAGGCAGGAGGGGTGAGTTAATGAAATGTTGGACTAAATACATCAGGCTAATTTTTACGTTGGTGGTTTTGTATGGCCTGCAAGTGATGTTATACATATCCGAAGGGCCCTTGGGAGAAAAAGGTTCCCCACCCCTGGTAGAAAGGGAAGATGCCTTTTCCCTCTTTTCTCTTGGAATATTTTCTTTATTTGGAATCAGAATTTATCACCGAATGTACAAAATACCTACGACAGATTCCCTTAGAAATGACCACCTCTGATTTGCAGATTGCGTCCTCCTGTTTCATTGCTTACCGTTTTATATCCTTATAAATGCAAATATATTTCAAATGCGCACATGCTGCTTGGAGACTCTTTGGTTTTGGTAGTTAGCATCCCAGGCTGTTGGGAACGGACCCTTGCATCATACGTGGCTGCCGGAAGATTAATTCCTGGCTTTGCTGCCTGGCTGAGGTCTTGCATTCCAGGTAGTTTGCGACACTTGTTGGTGGAGGTATGGAGTGGTGGTCACTCAGCAGATCACTCGGGCCAGGGGTTAAGGAGAAGAAAGCCCAGGCCTGCCTCTTGGGAGCTGGAGCCAGAGCAGGAGAGGACCTTGGGAGAAATATGAACATTCAGGAAGGTGAATGTTCTTGACTGAAATTATCAGGTTATCAGAAAAAAAAAAATTTCCAGAAAAAGGCCACACTAGTAACTCCCTCTGACCAATTCCAGGATTCTATTAACCAGATTGTCAAGAAATTCCCGGCCTGAAATCTCGCCTGCTGTCCTCCAAACCTGTTTTCTTTTACTCGGGTCCTTTCTCTAAAACCTTTCCTACGCTTGAAGACAATAACTGGGTCTCTAGCTCTGTCCTCACAGGGCCTGTGTTGTGTTCTCTCCCTCCTGAAAGCTCTGGTTTCTCCACATTAAATACAAATGGTGGTGATCAGAACTGAATACAGGTCTTTAATGCTGGTCTCATTAGTACACTGTGTGCAAGAAAAATGACTTCAGGGTTCTTGCATCAGTGTGAGCCCCTGGAGGGCAAGAGCCAAGTCTGATTCATCTTTGTATCCCCTACAGCTGCTGGGCAGTTCCTTAAACCCAGTAGGCGCTTCATAAATATTTGTTCAATTGACTTCCTTTAATATAGTACCTAAGTAATAACTGATAATCCCACCAGCCCTGGGTTGGTGACCTCTGGTTACCTTGCTTTCACCTCGGTCCTGAGTATTTTTCCTGTACTCGTGTCTAAGCATCCCTCACCCCAAATAATGCCGTCTTCTTGCTCTTTGAATCTAAGCTTCGTTACTTTGAATTTCACCCATCTACTTCCAGCTCTTAGTTTCTCCCCCTGCAGATCTGACAAACAGAATACAGAGGACGTAAGTTTAAGAACGTGAACTACTCTTGAAAGAGGAGGAGAAGAGCGCACAGAAGAATCTTAATGATTCAGCGTAACATCCATTCATCCAGACTTAGGACAGTCAGTCAGATTCTTTACAGATTTGGAGTCAGCTAAAGCCATACCTGTTTTACCAGGTTTTCTGCCGCAAGTGAGCTAGGTATCACGAGAGTGGTTACAAGTCAGCCTGGCAGTGGGAGTTCCTCCCTCTCTCTGGTCTAAAGCCAATGGAAACGGCAAAAGACGTGACAGACAAAGCCATTCAACTTGGGATTCTCTGACGGATGACTTTGCATTAGAAAGTGAGCTAGCATAAAATAGTGGCCAACTTAAAAAAAAAAAGTAGAAACTGCAAAATCCATTTTTTTTTTTAAAAAAGGAGCAAGCCTTTAAAACTGCAAAATAATTTTGTGGTTTTACAGCCACTTATTTCTACACACAGCGCTGAACAGATTTGCAGTGTTTTAGCAATCCTTGCCTAACTTCTTTTGCTCTGGTAGGTTCTGGTTAATTAAATGCCACCGCGTTTGAGCAGAATTACTAGTAAGATTGATTCACTCTTGCATGTGCTAATGCTGCAGACGTTATAAAACCTTTGTTCTCACAATAAGAATGCAGTCTAATATATGAGTGGACAAGGACTCCCCCCACTCCCACCCCTGCTCCCTTCCCCACCCCAGGTTATGCTCTCCATCCTCACTGAAGGATTGTGGAACTTGCCATC